TTTTCTTTTTCTTTTTTTTTCTGTTTTGCTCTTTTGTAGTTTGCATTACCTTTACCTAAGGAGTACCTTTATATTGTACTCCTTAGTAAAAAAAATTTTTTTTATTAAAATTAAAAAATATTTTGGGAGACGAGCATCAAGCATCTTAAGTCAGTTTTTTTTTTTACTGATAGGCCCAGTTCACAATGTAAATACGAAGTAGGGATGTATGTACTAGATATGGCTATTTCATGATACTATGATACACTATGACTCAAAAATAGATTTTTGTTTACCCAAAGTGACCAGTCCAGTGGTGAAATCCAAATTTTTTAACTACTGGTTCTGTGGGCGTGGCTTGGTGGCGTGGCAGGGGAAGGATACTGTAAAATCTCCATTCCCAACCCACTCCAGGGGAAGTATACTGCAAAATCCTCATTCCCTCCCCACTCCTGGGGGAAGGATATTGCAAAATCTCCATTCCCACCCCACTCTGGGGCTAGCCAGAGGTGGTATTTGCTGGTTCTCCAAACTACTCAAAATTTCTGCTACCAGTTCTCCAAACTGCTCAAAGTTTCCACTACTGGTTCTCCAGAACCTGCAGGATTTCACCCCTGGACCAGTGGCATCTTCAGGGTGTATATGTGTCAAAGGCCATCCACCTTCCTTGTCCCTTCGTATGTGTGTGTGTAACATCAATCTCTTAGTTCTGCAACTGCCATTTTGCCAGTTTTGAACATACACATACACACACACTACTGATACCATTGAAAATGACACAGATGGATTGGAAACTATTCCATTCCAATGTGATCACTGATAAAACTAAATTCCTTATCGGTTTATACAGAGCTGTGGTGTGTTGCATGGGTAACAGTATTTTTGTGATCAGAGGGCCTTTTTGTAAAGCTCTCTGCAGGATAGTTTATGAACAAGAGGAATAATCAGACTTGGGATTGTGGTATCTACTTTGAATTTTACCAGAGTCTTGAGGACCATCAGCTGGAGTAGAGGCTACAAAAGGATTCAAGAAGAAGAAAACAAGGATTCTTACTTACTTCAAGGAATGCTTTAGGAAAACAAATGTTGCTCAAGATTGAGTCATGATCAACCAATTATTCAGCAAGATTATAGACTCTGAATAAACATAACCAATGAAGGAGAACCTCCCTGGATAATTGGTTCCATTGTCAAAGTGCACAGTTAGAAAGGTTTTTCCCTCACTTCATAATCTGCCTTTTGTAATTTAAACCCAGTATCCAAACTGTTGTCTTCTGGAATGAAAGAAAACAGGTCCTGCCCCATTTTATGTGACCTTCTCTCAGGTATTTGAAGTGTGTTATCATTTTATCTTACCCCTCAATTTTTTTCTCAAGGCTAAACATATCTCATTCCTTCAAACTCTCTTCATAGGGACTTAGAGAGGAAAGTACATTAACTACAAAACTGTGACTTTTGTTAGCAGGACCTTGTAGCATTTTAAATATGAGTTAATTCCTGAGAATTATTACTCTATAACCAAGTTGTCTATTCTGAGGAACTAATCATAGCTCTTTATTGTACAAACATATGTTGCTTACTTTTTAAAGACTTCCTACATTTAATAACTTGCTTTATTGTGGCTTGCTTTATTACTTGTTATCCTGATAATATTCATGCTTGCATTGATATAATACAATATCAGGAAATTTCATCATACCACCTAGTATGGTAATAATGCCATTAAGGGAGTGTATCAAGCCAACCAAAATGCTTGAGTCTACAAATGGCTTTAAACCTAAATTTCCATTGCCATCCAAAACTAGTGCTTATGAATCAGAAAATGTAGAGTTTGCATCTCAGAGGCCTTGCTATTATTTCTTTTTAATTGTCAGTATGATGGGTGATATAAATGATCCAATACTCAATTTGCAGAGTTGATCACTAGCAACTCCCTTAGCTTTTTGGTCACTCCAGTCTTGCCATTCCAATCTCCTGAGCCTCAAATAAGCAATTTCCTTTAAATTTATGGAATATATTTACTTTAGGGAAAGGCGACAACCAATGAAATGCCAAGCAACCATTAGCTCATAATTAAATCATGATTAAATCTTCTTTCCCTATATATCTGTAGTAGGGAACTCCTGGCCTTCCAGATGTATTCATATATATTCCATAAATCTATCACTCCCCACACTTTGTGTCATAGATGGTTCTGTTTGCGACAAAGGGCAGGTATGGAGAGCCTGTGGTTTTAGCAATGCCTCAAGGATAGTAACATCCAGAAGCCTACATCCCTGTTCAGACTAACTAGGGTTGAAGGCAGATGAATACATCTGGAAGGCCAGGAGTTCCCTACTACAGATATATAGGGAAAGAAGATTTAATCATGATTTAATTATGAGCTAATGGTTGCTTGGCATTTCATTGGTTGTCGCCTTTCCCTAAAGTAAATATATGATAGTAACATTCCATTTCATTTCCAAATTAAAATTTGTAAATCCTAATAATCCAATTATTTACTTCATTAACTAATTTTTAACAGAGTATACAACAAAAGTAATGAGGATGCCCAGAAAGATGTGAAAGTTAACAGAAATTTTGATTTCTGTAGATCAAGATAAGTTACTTTACAAAAGTATTTAGGATTCTTTATTCAATGATATTTGGAACATTTTTCACAGGTAAACTTGAAGGACAGGAGAAAGATAATTTTGCAAGATACCCTGCGCAACTAAGATGGCCTTGACTGACAGTTGCGCATTTACTAACCAATGAGTGAAGATCACATACGCTCTTTAGGAGCTTACAGAGAAAAGTAATCAATGCCATTGTTTACTTTGGATGGTGAAAACTGATAAGGAGTCACGCCAGCTATATCAGCCACTGAGGTCATCTATATAGCAGTTGTCACTCTCCAAAACTTTGGGAAGTGTCTTTGGTATTTTGCCAAACATGACCAGGTCATAAAATAATATTCAACTTGTGCCAATCCTTAACTTATGTAACAACCATATTGATTTGGATGTACCTTAAGAACTCACTTTTTGACCTTTCTCTATTACATAAAGGAAGGATAATTAATGGTTAGGGCAGCATTTCTGACCTGGTGCTTTCTCTTGGCTGTGATTGCCAGCATTTCCAAGCATTACGACCAATACCAGGTATAAGAAGGCTATGCAAGGATAAACAACAATTGATTCACTCAAATCGGTAGTGGGAATATGCTACTGCTTGAAAGATACAGCATAAGCTTTAGAGAATTACTTCACAAACCCCTACAAGCTAGGAGAGTTGGATCTGCATGTACTTACCTACTTTCTGTATTTCAGAAACCGATATATGTGATATATGTTGCTATACTCAACATCACTGGATGAAGCTTATTTTTTCTTTAATATTTCTTATCATCTTTCAGAGAAATATGCCTGTTGGACTGTTGTGACATAGACCACAAAGAGTCTCACAATGCTTAAATAACAACATTTGCTAGACTAAAACTATACACATGAAGTTTCTGTTGAGGCAGAAATATGTTTGGAGATATGACTGTAGATATGGGAGATGGTAGGTGATAACCATAAGGTTCAAGGGAAACGAATTGCGTAATTGATGGGTAGCAATAACTATTTTATTATAGTGGCTATTCACAAATGTGCATGGTCATTCAGATATTTCAACTGTGCCACTTAGCTTTCGGTTACTCAAGGTCAGAGGAACAAAGTTCTTTTTTGTTAAAAATCAACCTGCAAGTGTCAAATAGCTCTACTGAGTGAGGATGTCTAATCCTATGATTTCATTCCCACATGGAAAGAGAATCCAATACCTGTTGCAGTCATACAGGACCCCATCAACATGACAGTAACTACTGACACAAAACACAAATCGGGTCAATTGCAACCGGACAGCTGTGTTCATATGAAGTTTCTGGATGTAAAAGACATACAGCTAGAAACTAACCATACAGGCTGGGTTCATACAACATGCAATTTTGTTAGGAAGTTTGTGAATACAATTTATAAATATATCCTATGGATTATGAATCAAACCAGCATCCAAATCAAGTATGATAACTTTGCAGCATTACATGGGAATTACAAGCTGGTACTGTAATTTGCCGTTCTGTGTGATGTGATTTTCAATTGCATTTGGCAGCATCACTCTACATCTTTACTAGACAGCTGAAGATTCTTTTAAATTATATTCACACTTTTGCAACAGACATGTTATATTGCTCCAAATTCCCTTTCAGATGCATTCCTCAAGTTATAATATGTATAAATGAAGAAAATCTTGGAAAATCTTGAAAAATGAAAACCAGGCGATCAACATAATTTCACACCTAATAATCAGATGCACAAACTGGTAGAAAAATTGTAGCAGGTAAGGCAGATCCTAACAGATCAGCTGCAAAGGCAGCACAAAACTAGTATCACCTCCTTTGACACAAAGGTTGGTTAGTCTAGGTGCCACTTTGATTCCCCTAAGGGGAGGGCACTTCGAATGGGAACCAAGGAGATCCTGCAGCATAAAAAGGATCACATTGCAAGTAGAGGTCTGGAGCTAGACAGCCTGGGAGTGTTGCCAATGCAGCTCTCCCCAGCTGTTTCTAAGATACCCCATTCATTTCTAAATTACCAACCAGCGCTGGATTGCGTGGCACTCAATCCAAGTTCTTTTTCTTTTTCTTTTTTAAACCAAAATTGCACTTAATCTCATTTGCAGCCAAGGGAATCAGGTTGGTAACAAAACATGATCCATCAGGGATGAATTATGCATATATGTTTTTTTTAAAAATGAAAGCTGAAAATTAGATACGTGTAACGTGATTCTCGTGAACAGAATTTGGCACACCTTAAATCGGGAGGGGGCAACGGAAGAGAGCGAGTTTGCATCTAAAGGCTGCGCACCAAATGTATTTCTCTCTCTGCCTTCAGGAGCAACTGAAGCCTCCGAGGTTATAATTCGGCGTAGCAGGCATTCATTTCCTCTCTCCCTGTGGTACACCCCCCACCCCACCCCAATCCCCAATCCCCAATTACCTGAATTGGTCAAACTGGGCGTATTTGGTCCAGTCCTCTGGGTTGCTCTCGTAAGATTCCATTAAAGTTTGCACTTCTGCCACATTGACTTTATCGCTCGCAAACAAGTGATGCAGGATCTCGATCAGCTCCTTCAAGGTCTGCGCTTTCCACGCTTCTCCCTGCATCGGGTAGTCCATAGCTCTGGGCCGCCGCTCCGTTGCAAGAAAGTCTTCCCGCTAGATGGACAATGAAAGCTCGGCTCTCCACCCCGCAGCGCAGCGCCAAAGCAACGCTCGCACTGAAGCCGCCGGCTCCGCTCGCCTCTCTCTCTCTCTCTCTCTTTCTGGCGCTCAGAGGAGGAACGTACCAAATATCTAAGGAGAGCAGAGGGAGGTACCAACTCGGCCCTTTCAGCCAGCTATAGGTCCCTGGGCAGGCTAAAATAAAAGACACCCCCAGCGTCGCCGCCAAAGAGTCCAGGGGCTGCTCTTTTGAGAGCCCTCCGCTTTTCCAAAACTGAACGTCCGCCTCCCTTATTGCCTCCAGGCCCCATTTCACACAAGATAAGGTCCTAAGCGATACGGCGCTCAGACTCTGCAGAGCAAACGGAATTGTGGGGCGAATGCACAACGCGAGGCCTCATCAATGGAAGAAGGGAGGAGGTCTCGGCCCCCAAAGATTCTCATATGTAACCGATTATTGCTCATCTTGACAACTACAATAGAAGGCGAAGCCTCCCGGTTCGATCGGATTATCCAGCAAATCTTAAGAGAGATGCCACGTCCGTTCGTTCTCTTCACCCCCACCGGCCCCCACTTCGTTTTACGCGACAGTGGAGCTTTAAATTTCCACTTTTTGTGGGGCAATCGTCAATGAGACCCGGAGAACGCAAAACGATTATGCTCGAATAATAGAAATGCGCTCGATGCTGCAGGTTGCTTACTAGTTCTCTCCCATATCCTTCAACTGGCTGTCTTAAAAGTGCCAAAGTAATAATTTGAGGAAGTGGGGGGAGGTAATTGTCCTCCTTCTATCACAGTAGGCACAGTAACGCCGTTTTGAAACTGGAATTAAGATTTAGCAAGGCTTCGTGCAAGCATCGGGGTGTGTGCTCCAAGGTGAAATGATGCAGTTAGGGGTCAGCTACATCCAGAGATCGCTAAACTTGGCTAAAAATAATATTGCAGCAGGAGAAAACAGGTGCAAAATCCCAAAGCAAACATAAAAACTGTTTGAAGTTCTTCTGTCAAAATGCACTAAGTCAATCATTAGCTCGAAAGATAAGCTCCCACTTACATCATTCATACTTCTGGCATAGCAACCAAGAGAGGGCAGTAGCATCATCAGCTGAAATTTCAGCATAAAGTCCATGTAGTAAAATTGTGTATCATCTATTCTGAACTGGAATAAAAAGATTCTGACCCGTTGGTAACAACAGACTATATCAACACACATATGTGCATACTTTTTGCACAACTATTAAATCCTTTTGTGGTGTATTATATGTAACCATTACTGCTAATCTTTACATTTATAAGGTAATGTTAGCTAAATTCTTTGCGTTGTGTTAAGCTATACTAAGAACCCATCTGAAAAACTTAACATTGCAGTTATTATTTGCAGCTGGGGTACTGAAAGCACAAAATAATCCTTCCATTTAGAACCCCTCAAATATACATACTTTATTTCAGTGAAATCTGACAGTCCTAATCACCTTGTTTAATGCTTTTTTCTGCATTTAAACATGCTGAGTTTATAAATTTAGTTATTTTCACAACTGGAGAGTTGGTCAGGCATAACTTTTTAATGCTCCTATTTAAAAGCTGACCATGCTGATTTTACCAGTCTTTACCAGTGCATCCTGCTGCCTGTATGAAATAAAACATTCTGTTATTTGGTGCAGAATAGAGGACCTAAAGAGGAAAGGCTGATGGGATTTCTGAATAGTAATGGTCCAACTGAATTTATTTCCAAAATCAAATTGCTAGGCAACATTTTGAATTAGCATTTTGAATATTTTAAATATTTATATACTTCAAATTTTATATTTCTTCTAGTACTCAAAATCTTGAAATCCAATTTTATGTGAACTATCTAGAAATGACATAAATTTTTAGCGGAAACATACATGTGGCTTTCAAAAAGGTTGCACAAATCAACTAAATACAGAATGTTAGTACATGCTAAATGCTAAAAAGATCCACAAAATTGATACTAATTATTAAAGGTTCAAGAAGAAATATTGCTGGTTGGTCCTTCAAAAACTTAACAGTCAGCGTGTAAAAATGTTGTGATTCAAAAGCAGTATTAATTTCTTTGGAATTTGTTTTCCAATGGACTGGTACATCTGTTTGCATTTTTGTCTGAATTAAACACACATATTGATGTTTGATTTCCTTATTAATAGCATTCTTTCCATACTTGAGCCATTAAATGAAGCAACCTGGACAGGTGTCTCCGATCAAGAAAGGCTGACGTATGTATGGTTGCATATTTTGACATTTTGGCCTCAATACAGGAGGTCATGATTTTGTTCCAGGAGGTTAGCATTTAGTTTGGTAGCGAGAAACTTATAGCCTGTCAGATACTGCCCAATTCTAACATGCAAGCCTGCAAAGCCAAGGAAGAATATTAAGAGCTATTTTGAAATGGAAAATCGTAGGTCATCCATGGGCTGGATTTAGCATCCACCTAAATTAAAGAAGTAAAGCGCTCTTTCTGTGGAATACCATTCCACCAAATGAAGAACCATATCCTTGCTTCTAGTGTGCAAGAAACTTTTAAAAACACAATGCTTTAATGTGTATTTGGAGATTGAGACGAGGATGAGATAGGATCTGGCTGATTCATGTTGTCATGATTTTATATTAGTATTACTCTGCTTTTGAATTTGAAGTGCTCATAATTGACTCCCAAAAGTGAAGCGGCAAAGAACCATTTACAAGGGCAGATGAGAATATGAGAGGGAATAAGGAAAACCATTAAATAACTTCAATATATCATAGACAATTCTCAGAAGCCTTTTGGAGTAGCCACAGTGAGACAGGTAGCGAATAAATTTAACACATAAATAATTTCTGCAATCTTGGCTTGAAAAATACTAAAAAAATAACCTTACCAAAACAAATAGAAAACGAAGATCTAACATGATTGACCTTCTTCACAGCAATTATGCTTGAAACAATTTTCCTGCTTTTAACATGGTTCCTTTCTCGCCCCCATATTCAATCTTTATTTGGTAAATTGTGCTTTATCAATTTTGATTAAAGAATAGTTTAGACAGTTTAAAAGAGGAACAAGTTAGTGCAGACCATAGCTAAAAAGCAAGATACTATTAATTTCACTTTTGACTGAATATTATGATTAAATATTAAAATACTACTGATATAGTTCTTATTCACTCTCTAAAATAGAGAAAATCTGATCAATGATATCTCTTAAAGGTCATTATTTGATAGTTATTTCCTTAAATAATGTAACAAGATTCTGTAGGCTCCACTTGAAGCAACCTGTTGAAAGATATAAATATGAAATATAAAGGTTGACAGACTTCAATGAGGAAGGTGGCTTTGCACATAACATTTGGATTAATATATAAATGGAAAGAAGTAACAAAGGTCACACATTAGAAAAAATATTTATACCTTGGATAGGAAAAAATGCAGAATGTGGTTTGCTTTTGAAGTGGTTCTGAAATTTAATGTGTGAAGATTATATCTGAGCTTAATTAGAAGAATGTGATTATTTTCCACTTATAGACTTTAAAAAAGAATGCAAAAATTACAGGGAAATTTGTTTGTGTGTGCTTAGGAAGGTAATATTTGGTTTAAAACCAAAAAAGAAAAAAAAAGTTGAAATGAAGTTTTATGATAATAGTGTTTGCTCATCAGCACCTACTGAGAAATACATGGTGAGAACGTTTACTGCATGTTTGATTTAGAGAGTGTGATAAATTGCATTTAAAATAAAGAATCACAGACAAGACCAAATAGAAAATGTGTCCATTTATCTCAGATGTAGATGCTTTAAGCTTTCCATGTATAATAAAGCTCCTTCAAAGAGCGAGACTGTAAACTCCACACAGCTTGGTGAAATGTACTCTCCATGTCAGGCATGAACCTGTTTCCCAGGAACAGACGTGTCAAATTTTGGAACAATAAATGCTAAATTCAGCTGTAAAGATTGCAGATTAATTTCTGCAAGAAAATCATCAAAGAAATTGTACTATAAACATTCCTCAGTATACGTTTCTGTGCTTTTCTCCTATGCTGATGCAGAGAAGAGAGAAGAAGAAAAAAAAGAACTAGTGCAGATATTTCTTCCATTTGTCCATGGGGAATGTCTCTGAAGATTATTTTAGCCAATCCACTATCTAATAGTCTTAAGCAACTTTAGTTATTAATTCATCCCCAGGCCTGAGTTTTACAATAATGCAATACAAGTTTGCCATCGCTTCCAAAACACTGTAAGAAAACAAGAAAAAAAAGTTTAACAAGCAGTGAAGCAACAAATGTTAATATTTAATTAAAATTTATATTAGCAAATTCTATTGTAGTTAGTTAAGTCAGTTATACAATGGTTTTCTTGTGAAATGCTGCCATCTATTGACAATAAATTTTAAAAAGTTTTGATTACACTGTTATTTGTGTGATACATCTTAAAAACATGAGAGAACTCTGGTACCCTTAAACCATATCCTTAAATGTGGTGCTTCCAAATTTTTTAAAAAAACATTTTGTAGAAGTCTTTACCAAATTTCCTAAACATTTAATGCCTTTAAAAGAGGCATTGCAAGATTTTAGAATTAAGTCTGTTGGTTAATTTGGTTAAAAGTTGGTATCCACCTCCCCCCCCCCAATACTAAATTTTCTAGCACCAAATGACCTTTTAATTCCTACCATAAGAAGCAGGAATAATTTTGTAAACCAGTAGTCACCTCATATAGTGTTCCAACCTCCTGATCTGGTGAAGGAGCAAAGGACTGATTCACGTAAATAAACTGCATGAGAAAGAAATACCACATTGGTAACTTTTTATCAACTCCAAACACAAGAATGTTGCTCAACAATATTATGACCATTATTTCCTTTAATATTTAACATATTTTCTATCTGTGGAATCCTTATGCCCTCTGGGCTTGGTTGTTTGCTTGCAGACGTTTCATTACACAACATCATCATCAGTGCTCCTATTTTTTTATCTTCAAAATGTTGCATAACAATCCAAGTATTTTATACTTATTCAGAAAGACTAATTCAGTAGACATACTGATGATAATTTTGTATTGCAATTATCAGGTTAAAGGGAAGAACAACATCCCCAAATACAAGACAGAGGATATACTGCTACTGAACTCCTTCCTCCACCCCAAAAAGTGTTGCAGTTATTGAAATTAGAAAAACAGCCTACTGCTGATCCAAGAAACTGGGCTGCTAAATTGGTACTTCCTGCTTCACATCATATTCAGTAGCATCATTAAACAATAGGTGATTGAAAAGAATAAATTGGGCTCAGTGGAAAATTTGTAACCTCCAACAAATAGGAATTTTGAATC